AAAGAAAAAAAAAGTAAAATTGCCAGAGAAAAAATGGATAAAAAAATACAACACAAATTTTGTTACTCCCATTTTATCAGAATTGTAGAGGTCTGGAAAAGGTAGACAATAAGAACCAGAACAACAAAAAGGAAGAAAAGGAGCAACCTCCGCACTCCTATTTTTGCACTTGGGGCAGAAAAGATGATCCGAGAACTTCTCATTACTGGAAAACGGCCCTTCTGACTCGCGCAGCCCCGTGCTGGGCGCCGTCTCCGGGAGGGGAGGCGCTGAGGGGCGTTGGGACGCGGTGCCCGGTCGCCACCCAGGCGCGCCTGCCTCGCCCTGTGGTTAACTGGGGCTAAAGAGGGTGGTGGGCAGTGCTGAGCTCATGGAGGAGCCATGTGCATCTAATTAGGCTGGATTGCTAATCAGGAGAGATGTTTTTCAAGCTTTGCATCATTCCGTGTTTGAGAGGGCAAGAGTTGGGAGAGGAGTCTTGACAGGAAGAGAAGTCTCTTCTGGGTTGCCCGTCATGGGTGCAGGGGGAGGTGAGGAGGGTTCAGGATGCACTGGGACTGCTGGATGCAGAAGAGTGTCTAAATGTTCAACTACAGAAAAGAATGGCATAAATCCGCTTTGGTTTCATGATTCAGTTTTGGAGCCTGATAGTGCTCATTCCTGCAAGATTTTCCTTGAGTTTGGTGATACGGGCTGCCCCTCCAGGCAGCTAAGGATTGCCAAGGGTCAGGGAGGTCCCTTGTAAAGCTTCCTAGGCCTTTCCAGATGTGGATCTGTTAAACACAACAGCAAGGGAAGTCCCCTGGAAATGGGGGATTGGAAAAATGGAGCTGCCATACCATGAGCGTTAGACTCACCCTGTGTAGTGAAATAGAGTGGGGTAGGTGCTGCCCATCTCCTGAGCACCTCTTTGTTAAGAAATGAGTTATCTTTTTTCTTTGTTTGCTTTTCCTGCTTGCGAAGGAAGCCTGACTTATTTTTCTCCTCAAGATGATGTTGTTTTGGGATGTGGTAGAGCTCTACCTTGTGACAAATCCTCAAGGATTTGAAAACTGAGCTGCATTGTGACCAGCAAATGCAGGGTTTTTAAAGCTGTTTTAGCTTTGCGGTGTGACTAGGTGTCTGCAGCGGTTGTTCTGCCGTGGGATGTGGACGGGCTCTGCTGCCGTTTTGTGCCATTCGGATCCAAGTAAGGCTGTTTGATCCTACTGGTCCCAGACAAGACAAGTTGTTGTTGATTTCTTTTTTTTCTCATGATGAAAGCTGAGGAAGCAAGGGCTCTATATTTTGCCTAAGCACATTCCTTGGCCTAAAAGCAGTTTGGTGTGTTTTCTTTTAATTGGATAAAAACTGCTTCTGGAATCCCTTTTGTGGGGAAAATTCTCATCCTTACAGATATGGCCGTTTCCAATACTCTATTTTTTTTTCCCCAGGCTTCTGATTTCCTGGGGGATATAGGGAAGGCAGCACAGTCTGAGTGCTGTGGTGGGTACCCTGTGCAGTGTCTTGCTGCAGTGTAGGACCTGGAATGGGGCTTGAACTGGACATTGCTCCCACGATACCAGTTCTACTGCTAATCTGCTTTGCTTTGGGGTGACTTACTGTGCATCTACAAGGGATATGGCTGTGGTCACTGCCCTTGCTGTGTGGCTGGGCGGGCTGCCTGGCCAGGTCTGGGGACAGAGCGTACGGGTGACAAGAAAAAATGTGGGGTTACTTGGTCTGCTCCTCCTGGGAGGAAGCAAAGCAAGAGCACTTGTACAGCCGTGCTCGGTAAGGTGCTGTGGTAGCTTGGTACCCCCTTGGGTTGCGCTGTCTGACTGCAGCTTGTCAGGGACATAAATGTGCATCTCGTGAGCTTGCAGGGCATTCGTTCTGGCAGGGTTTTCCTAGCTTATTAGACTCATTTGGAAAGGAAGGTGGATGTGTTTTGCTTGTGCAGCATTTTGGACACTCCTGAGACCTTAAAGTTAAGGGTGCTGATGAGAGCCACGCTTCTTACTGGGCTTGCTCTCTCTTTTCTGAGGAGAGGGTAAACAGAGCTGGTGGGAGAGAGGTCCTGTGTGTGATCCTGGCCTGATTCCTGTACAGGGAGCCGGGGCACACACTTGTCCCTCAAACCCAATGGCAGCCTTGGGCCTCATGGACTGCCAGGAGCTTCCAGGGTGGTCATTCCACCACCATCTCAGTACGTCTGGGGAGATGGAGGCTGCAGGCTGAGGTGTGGCGTATCTGGGCTGGGTTTTTGAAACCCACAAAAGGTACCTCTCGACCAAGAGCAAGCCCCAGCAGGTCCCACAAAGTATAAAGGATGGTAACCTCCTTGGGGCAGGTTTTTCTTTTGTTTTCTGTTCTCCTCTTTTATTCCACGCAGAGGAACAAGATGGTGGATCCCATAGCTGCTCTTAAATGCTGCTGCTTGGGCACGTGGCAAAATGCTGACTTTACTCCCTTCCCCTTAGGACCAGGAGCAGATACAGCTGCTCCTTTTGGAGGTGCACGACCAGTGATGGGGCAGAGAAGGCAGCTCCAGTGCCTTTAGTCCTTGTAACATCTACCCAACAGCAGCAATTCTGACCCTAAATTCTAGCAGTCAAGTTCCCGAAGGCCTGAGGTGAGTTATTGGGGCTGCCTGTGTCTGTCTGCAGCGGGGCCTCCCTAAATAGATGTGTGCAGACGCTGCTAGGGCTGCTAGCTGCCAGTGCGCGCTCCGCGCAGAGCAGAGCTCCCTTGGGCTCTTCACAGCTGACTAATTCCTTTTAAGAATGAGTCACTCTGAAACGAGAGGTGACAATGGATGTGCAGACAGCAGGAAGACGGGAGTGAGATAATGAGCATTAGAGAGAGGCTAAACTAAATCAGGAACAGGAGCATAAACTTGCTGCCCTTATAAATAGCACTGCACTAAAAGGATGAGGATTTTTATTTAGAATCATAGTTCCCAGGGAGAGTTTAGGCTTTCTGACCCGTAAGTTTGCCTGTGAACTTGTGCTGCCTTGCTGGCACTTGAAGGAGAAGCAGGTTGGCGCAGTCTGGGGTTTGGTGAGGGCATTCCCAAGGCACTACCGCCCTCCCCATTGACTGGAAGTGGAGTCAGGGACTGCTGAAATGCTGCTCTCGCCTCCGACTCTGTCTCACTGCAGAGCACAAGGAAAAGGAAGGGATGGGGCTGCACTCCTAGGTCTCGGCATTGCATCTTGTATGGTGAAATCCCCTGCAGGTTCTGGCTGGACCCTGCTGTGGCTCTGCTGGAGCCACTGCGAGGTGCGAGTGGTTGTCACTAGGGAGGTGACTGTCCTTCAGTGGAGACACAAGTCACCCTGGAGTTCTGTCTGTTGATTTAGGCTGGACATTGGCACAAGGCTATTGCCTACAGCAGGTATTTGCAGAGATATGAAGGGAGTTAATTGTCCAAATGGCATTAAAAGACAATATAATTTTAAAATACCATTAAAACACAACATAATTATATATCTTTAGTTATATTTTGTGCAATGCATAAGTTTTTTTGCATGTATCTCTTTGTTAAAAGCACTCAACAAGACTAATGTCACTGCAGGTGCTGAAAATTAACCATTTACTTTTCCTAATTCCACACTGTGGAAAAGTAAATGTTCAATTACTAAAGAAATTACAAAACTGCACTTATCTGTGCCCACATCCAAAAATCTTTGACATGACTAAAAAGATCAATTACTTTTTTTTCCTTTCACTCAAGATAAGCAAATTGGAGTTGGGAAGCAGTCAGGAATCTTGAAGTGAAATGAGAAAAGGACTTCATAGATGCAATTTTGTCAGATAAATGGAAGATTATCTGGTGGGGACTGTCATTGGCTTCCTGAGGCTTTTATTCATAATTGAATTAAATGAAATTTAGCTGTATGGTGATAACATGAGCAGAAGAGGGATCTGAATGTTGTCTAGTAGCTATGGGAATAGCAGGGCTGGAACTGAGAAATTTTTACCCATTAATATATAAAATGGCCCATGGGGGTTGAATTTATTAATTTCTTCTCGGTGAAAATGGGAAGCTGGAAGCAGGAGGAGGATGGTGAGAGGGAAGGCAGTTCCTTGAGTGCATGAAGGCCATGGGGTCCTCAATGGATGCTTTGTGCCAAAGGTTGTCCTGAATGTTTCCCATAGTCTTGGTGGAAATGTTGGCTTCAAAGTGGTCCCAAACAGGACTGAGCCTTACAGTGATCTATCAACGTCCCAAAGCAGCTTCCCTTGGGGACTGGTTCCCTGCGACTGATTGACAGGGGGATGCTTGAAGTGCAAACATTACAGGATTGTTTGGATTGTTTTGAGATGTTTTGGAAGGGTATTTGCATCTGTACCTCATTTTCCTTGGAGAGAAAAAAAGAGAGTGTTGCTAGTAAGGAAACTGGGAGAGGACTGGGTGGATAAAAGGGCAGTAGAGGGGATGTTTTCCCCATTACAAAAATGTATGGTTTGTGGCACAAAGATTTATTCATTTAGGAAAATGTATGGGATTGAATTGAGATATCAGAACTCAATTTCTTTGATTTCTTTTTGTGTTCTGATCTTGAGGGCTTCAGAGCAAATGGCTTTATTCTCTGCTAATGGTGCTGTTTTGTCTTGATGAATGTGAAGCTTTGGTGTTATCTGCATCATGGATAGCAGCTTAGAATGGATTATGACCTGTGCTTGGGTTACCTATAGGTACTCTTCAGACTTTCTGTACATCTGAGCATACAGAGAGGTGCCTGTTGGGGTGTGTGTGTGTTGTTTGAAAAACAACAACAACAACAAAAAAACTAAGTATAAATCTCTTCTGTCCAGGCTTTTCTTTTTAGCTTCCTGCATCATCATCCTTGGAGAGCAATGAAAGCTGTCAACTCTCATTTTACCTCTCTTCTCCACTTACTACAAAGGTCGCTCCTCTTACTGATGGCTTCATTTCTCCCTAGCTGACGATGTGTCCAGTGCCCTCCACCACCTCTCTTCTGTTGAACACAAGCTCCTCATCTTCCCTCCCTGGTCCTGATGGCTGCACCTGATGTGAGTACTGCTCGTGGCCCGAATGTCCCAGGCAACCACAGACTGAGGAACCTCTACCAGCCTAAGGGGCCATCAGCTTGGGGCAGTTCCTTGACCACTGACCTTTGGACCTCAAGCTTGCTGTCATGCCCCTGTCACCATGTTCCTCCAAGGTCCCCATTGTCACACTGTTTTCTTCCATCTTATCCTGCCCCAAAACTGTTTTCTGTAGGAGCATCTATGAAAGATGAGTCTTCAACTCCTCTTGACAGTGGGCAACAGTTTCCCATGTTTGTCTTGTATCTTCTTGTCACTCCTTATGCTCCCTTCCATGTACATCTGAGGTGTCTCTTGCTCTATACTTGGCTCCTCTGTGTGCTAGGGAGGGCTGACTGTGCTTGTCTGGCACTCTGATTTTTTTGACTTATTGAGTATTTTATAACACCATTGCCAGTCCCAAAGCTTTGTTTAGGGCTGCAGCACTCTGCTTCTCCATGACTGCACAGCCTGATCTCGGCAGCCCTCAAGCCATCGAGTCAGAGTACCTGGAGCCAGTTGCTGATGTAAGGTACTTTCCACCCCTTCTGTTGCCCTAGGTAAAACACTCCTGGGCTTCTCCAGGAACCTGGTAAAATAGATATCCTCTGCTCTGTGCCTGAAAGATCCCTGGAGCTGGGCTGTTTTGAACAGAAGTCTGGGCACACAGAAGCTGCTGACCCAAATGTGTGGCTGTTGTACCTGATCTAGCCCAGTAAAGCAGATAAGCTCTGTGTGTGTTGAGCTGTGAGGAAAATGAGGGTAGTCCAGGACCTCAAATGGTACAGACAATCCTCTGGATGTGTCCTGGAGAGCCGGGCAGCTCTTGGGGATAGTCCAGCACTTGCCCTCTCTCTTTATAGTTGGCTTGATCCCACCAGAACAGCTCTCCTGACCCCTGCCTGGCAGCTACATAACAGGGATCAAGGTGGTGTGTGTGAATCCATTTGTTTTCTTACCACTTCTTTATTGCTCTCTCTATGGCTGTTAGTAGCTGTGTTGGGAAGGGGTGGCCTCCTGTAAAACAGAAGTAAGCAAAAACAGGAAAGTACAGAGTTGTGAATAGCTTAATCTTTCACTTGTTCTTGGTGTTTATACAGAGCGGAGCTTGGCTTTTGAAATGCTTGTGCCCATACAGCATGCAGTGCTGTGTCCAAGTCCTGCTCTTTCTCTTTGCTGGTGAAGAGCAACATCTCAGAGCTCTGCTGACCGGTGGCTCAAGGAAGGTCCTGTCGGACTTGGGAGTGATTTTGGTTGAGCTGCTGTCGGCATCAGGAGAGCTGTTGCCAGGCTACTTGAGCAGTCAATAGTGAATGCTTATTAATCTATTTTCCACTTCTTGATGACAGTTTTGTGATTGCCTGATCAATTTTATGATTGCCATTTGTGTGATGGCAAATCACACACACACTCCTGCTGCTTTACTCTTCCTTTTAAGAAAGGACAGTAAAAATCTGAGCTGTAACAGTGCCTGCTTCCTCCAGGCCTGGGGATGAGGTGGAATTTTTTCTTTTGCATCATTTTTCTGCATCAAAATCCCTTGCAGTAATTTCTGTGACAACCCTGAGAATATAAATATAGAAACGACAGACAGTTCCCTGGAGACTGGAGGCTTAATATGTGAATAATCTCACCTCCCACTTCATAACAATATCATGGGGGAGGAAAGGTGTATAATGCACACCCGCTGCCTTGCTTCGACAGCGTCTTGGCTGCTCTGGGAAGTGTGTGTGTAAATATTTTAAGCGTAGATCTCAGTCACCAGTGTGGGAGAGACTACACAGATAGGTGATATAACAGGGTGCTGACACTCGGGTAAGGCTCCGGGTCTGCCCTGCTTCCAGGAGCTGCGGTGCTGGTGGCTTGTGCGGTTAGTGCAAGGCTGCTGCTGCTTTCCAGTGCTCACCAGTGTCAAGTCTTTTGCTGTGTCTGTGACTATGCAGTATGCTTAAAAGCACAAGTTCTTCCAAATAATATTTAAAAAAAAAAATAGGCACTCTAGTTCAGCTGTCTGCTTGGCAAGCATCTCTGAACAAGGAAATCACTCTGAAAGTGACAAAATCCCACTAAATCGTTAAATTATGCTACTAATTATAGGGCTGAAGGGGAATGCTGCAGACTGCAGAGGCGACAAGTCCCCTCCCTGCTGGGTCAGCCCTTCTCCTGGGAGCTGGGTAGCTCCTCCACGGGGCTCAGCTGTGGGGTGGTTAGTCCTGCCTAAGCTGCCACAGTTGCTCTTAAGCCCCTTCATAATGGTCTAATGCAGGCAAGTCCTAGAGCAGAGTCTTGCTTAGGTGAGTTAGAAGAATACGGGCAATGGGTACATATATGCACAGGGTTATGTGTCTCTACTTATGTATACACAAATTTATATAAGGACAAAATGTGTATATATGAGTACATGTCTGTGTACATATATGTATAATAAGAGTTTGAGTCAGCCTTAACTTTCTGTTGCTCACACATCCTGTAGAAACATCTCTGAAGGCTTCCTGAGTGGCACTGCATGTTTTTCTTTATAGGGGAGGTATTTTATGGCCATTTGCCTTGGTGCAACAGCATTTTGGAGAGAAGCTTCTCTTAGATCAATTCAAATGAGTGTTACTGCTGAATTAAATGGATGCAAAGGTCAGGCAGTGATTCGTGTACAGTGTAATCAGCTCCATGTCTGTGAATTGCTGATTAGTGTTGCCTCCTTAGCAGCAACAGCAACACGGAAATTGAAGCAGAAGTTGGGCAAGCAGGATGGTTTGACTTGTGAAGAGCAATAGTTGTCAAGGCCTTGTTGCTGAGCAGAGCCTACTGGAGATGGAAACTCCAATGTTGCTCCTGGCCACTGTGCTCTGAATGCTGGCAACTTCAAAAGCATTTCAGCTGATCATTGTCACTGTTCTCTGTCACCTGCAGATTTCTGCACTTTCCACATTGGTTTCTGGGAGGAGGAAATGTAGAATATTTTCTTTAAAGTTGTTGAGATGCAATATAAAGACATGACAAAGTGCTTCAGTTCCAAGTTTTAATGTAGGTATGCTGAAAAGCTGCTAGTGACTGAGATCAGAAGTCATGGTAGAGAAACAAATCGCTTCTCGGAGTCCTTTTCATCAGCACATCCCAGCTGCGTCTCCAGGCCCTTTCTGCAGTGGCCTGGACCCTTCACTGCCTTGTCCATGTGTCTCTGCAGTGTCATTTTTCTTCTGAAGGGTTTGTGCCTCATAACCCCCCTGCCCCAGAGCACATATTCTGGACCCCCTCCCACACATAGGGGAAGGGACTGAGGAAGTGTCACAGAGACTCTCCTATGGGGAGTCTGAGTACCAAATTGCATAGGAAATCCGAGGCAGAACAGGGATCTGCATGCAAGCTTCTCACTACCCAACCCAACTATCTCTCCATGCAGTAAGTCTGCTTGGTTTTACCCTCGAGACATGAGTTATGGCCCTGCCCCTTGAATCTAGAATTTAGTCATGTCATTTCAAAAAGTTTTGATTGATGGAAAATGAGAAGGGGATTAGAAGATCCTGTAGCTTGTTGACAAATCACCCCATAGATTTATCTGCAATGAAAACAGCCTTAAATGAAATGCTCTGATTTATCCATCTTCACTTCATACTTGTAACAGAAAGGACTGATTTAGTGATGTTAAGCCTGACAGTTAATGTATTGTGCTCATAAATCAGGATATGCATGTGTTTAAACTGGGACTTATAAATCTCAGACAGAGTTCTTGATTTTTACCCCATGGCTGTGATATTGGGCACCTTGAAAGTTTTCTTAGCTTCCAGTGAAGTAATGTCAGATAAAGGAACACTGTTTGTTCCACCTTACAAAGGATTTCCTCTCTTGGAGTGTCTGGATGCCTGTGCTTTGGGGTTTGGGTGTCAGATCGGCAACCTCCAGCCCCCCTTTCTCATCTATGAGTCAACGTAAGGGAAGATGCAGGCTGGTGGGAGCACTGGGAGGAGGAGGAAGCTGTGCTTCATGCAGCTGTCTGCAGTAATGGCTGATGCCTTTATCACCTGCTGCTTTATGTTTAGTGGAATTGCAGGAGATCAGTGTGGGGAAGGGGAAAATGTTGAATTTAAAGGGAGCAAGCATTGCTGCAGTGCTTCCATCTGACTTCCTGAATTATTCAAGATGAGGTATTTCACCTTGGAGCTCTTGCAATGAGGCTAATAACTTTGTAACTGAGCTAAGCAGCTGAAGGGATTTAAGCACCCCTCAGCTCCTGGAAAATTTACTTTCAAATCTCTGCTGCAACAGAATGAATTTTTTGAGGTATAAAATACAGCTGTTCTTTACCTTGCATAGCTGTGAGCTTTCTGCCTTTCTCATATCTCACTTTATGTCAATACTGGGTTGTAAGGAGTCAGACTTGGCAAGTCCTGTATTGGAGATGTGCTGTTGATGGCTCACCACGAGGTGCAAAGTACAGGAGCTGCTCATCTGTGGCAGCTCCTTCAAGATGAAGTGTTTTTATTCACAATTACAAGGAGGCAATTTTATGCCTTTAAAGTGAGAGCTGACATTGGCTGCTGAAACCAAGTGACTTTTAATTAGATTAGGAATTAAACCAAGCTACCCTTCTTTCTGCAAGCTATCCCCAAGCTGCTAATTGCAGATGCTGCCTAGATTATAATAATGGTGTCATGGTTGTTAAAGCTTTATAATGCACATGATGATACTTTAAAAATGACCTCATGCATACTGAGTTCTATCAATTTATTGCCACTTCTGTCGTGACTATCTATCTATCTATGACTTTCTATCATCAACAGAGCTGCAGGAGAGTTGAGGAAACTATCTAAATTGAATGTTCTCCTGAGACTCATATCTGGACAGGTTGACTGAGTTTCTGTGACTTAAACCTGCTTTCTCCCTAGCCTGTGGTCTGCTCCTGTGTCTGTGATCCACATCAGTCGGGGCAGCAGTACAAACTGTTCGGTGTGCATGAACACAAATGAATGTTTCATTCCCTTCAGCAGAAG